GAAAATTAAGCCAGGTGTCAGTGGTTTAAGTTTGTAATCCCAGTCACTCAGGAGGTGGAGATCGTGGTTCAAAGCCAGCCAGGATAGGAAAGTCCATAACACTCATCTCCAATGAACCACCAAAAAGTGGGTCGTGGAGCTGTGGTTCAAAGCGGTAGAGCACTAGCCTTGAGCAAAAAAAAAAAACAACAAAACAGTTCAGGACTGCACCCAGGCCCTGAGTTCGAGACCCACGACCAACAAAACAGAGAAAGAAGCTAAACCCCTTGTGTAGCAGGCTGTTGAATACGTGTTGCTTGCTGCCCGGGTCACAATACCATGATCTTCAATCCATTCCTCTGTGGGTCTGAAGGTTTGGGGGAGAATAAGACGCAGCCATGGGGGAAGGGGGTTCTGACTACGGTTTATTGCCAGGAATCGCTGGGAATGATTAGTCACAGGGAATCCCCACAAGATGTAAGGCAAGGAGACAAACACAAAACCATGCCAAGAATTGCTGCAGAACTGAACGAGAAGACAGGCCTTCCCAAGGCCCCCAATACAGCCCAGATCCCTTCCTCTAAGCCAGGCGGGGTGGTATGGACCATCCAGCTGCCTGCGTAGGCGGGGCACTGCCGCTCACGCCTGTAATCCCAGCCACCCAGAGGCGGCTGAGCTCTGAAGAAGGCGGGTTCGAAGCCAGCATGAGTAGGAGCTCCCTGATCTCCAATGAAGCACCCAAACAAAAAGCCACAAAGGGGGAACTTGCGTGGCCCAAGTGGTAGAGCGCCAGCCTTGAGCAGAAAAGAAAAAGGGGCTGGGAAGGTGGCTCAGCCGTAGAGCGCTCGCCTCGCAGGCATCAGGCCCTGGGTTCGATTCCTGGGTGCCCACCTACACTGAAAAAGTCCGGAGGGGCGCTGTGGCTCAGGCGGTAGAGCGCCAGCCTTGAACTGCAGCAGCTCAGGGACAGCAGCCTGGGCCCTGACTTCAAACCGCGGGGGTGACGCTCTCCACCCCGCCATGCACTGATTGGTGGACATTGCTTCGATGATTTGCATGTGGAGGGGGGAGGCTGGCACCTCATTGGTCGTCGCTGGTGAGTCGGTGATTTGCATGGGGAGGGAGAGGCTGGCACCTCATTGGTCGTCGCGGGTGAGTCGGTGATTTGCATGTGAGCGGGGAGGCTGGCACCTCATTGGTCGTCAGCGGTGATGATTTGCATGAGGCGGGGAAGGCTGGCACCTCATTGGTCGTCGTCGGCGACGTCGTTCTCCTGCATCGTCTTCAGGATCCAGTCGAGGGTAGCGGCTGACTTTGGTGTAGACGCCGTAGGTGCCGCACTTCTTGCCCCAGGACACCAGGCCGGCCACGTAGAACCTGGGGTTGTCGTCGTCGCGGTGCTGGGGGTCGCGGACGGCCAGGGCGCCGCCGCTGTCGCCCTGGCAGCTGTCCACGCCCGGCTCCCCGGCGCAGAGCATGTTGTCGGTGAACGCGTAGACGCCGCCGTCGGCCTGGGCCGCGGCCTGGCGGCAGCGCTGCGCGGGCACCACGGGCACCACGGCCGCGCGGAGCGTCAGCGCGCGCTCCCGCCTCTCCGTGCCGCCCCAGCCCGAGATGAGGCCCACGTCCCCCGCCGACGGCGTGTAGGCCTCGGAGCGGCCCGGGAGGCAGATCGGGCCCACCGCGGGCCCCATCTCCACGGGGTCGCGGAGCTGCAGCAGGGCGATGTCGTGGTCGAAGTCGCGGCGCGCGTCGGGCTCGAGGCCGGCCTTCCAGCCCGGGTGCAGGAACACGCGCCGCGGCCGCAGCGCCTGCGCCCGGCGCAGGTCGGCCGAGCGCGCCGACGCGGAGCCCGCGAAGGCGGCGGGCGGGGGCGGCGCCGTCCACCGCGTGCGCCGCCGTCAGCACCCAGCGCGCCGCCACCAAGCGCGCCGCCCGCCCACGTGGCCGCGTCGCGCAGGAACACCTGCCACGGGACCTGCGCCGCCTCCGCCGCGCGGCCCCCGAAGATCCGCTGCTGCGCCGCCGCCCACGGCTTCCGGGGCACCCCGCACACTGCGGGGGGGGGGGGGGACCGGCCCGTGAGGAGGGGCCCGGATGCAGGCCGCCCCCCCCCCCGGCTCCACCCACAGGGGCCGGGCCCTCGAACCCGGGGCCTGGCGCTGTCCCCGCGCTGGTGCGCTCGGCCACAGCTCCATGGCCAGCGTGTTGCAGATCAGAGGTGGCTCAGGGGCACAGCGCTCGCCTGGCACGCGCGCACACACATGCACGCACGCGCACACGCACGCACATGCACGCACATGCACGCGCGCGCACACATGCACGCGCGCACATGCACGCTCGCACACATATACACACATGCGCGCGCGCACATACGCACACACATGCGTGCACACACGCGCACATGCACGCTCGCACACACATGCACATACACACATGCGCGCGCACACATACGCACACACATGTGCGCACACATACACGCGCACACAATGCACACACACATACAGCACACACACACATACGCACGCACACCCCATGCAGGAGTGACAATGCTCCCCCCCCAGCGCCCCCATTACCTGGAACACACTCCGGCAACTCGGCGCCCAGCACCTCGTTCACCCAGCTCCCATTACCCGAGCAGCGGTACAGGCCTGAAACCACACGGGCGCGGTCACAGGCCGCCGCCCCCCGCCCCCGCCTCCCCCCCCTCCTTCCGCCTTCCACCCCCCCCCCCCCCCGCCTTCACCCCCCCCCCCCGCTCCTTCCGCCTCCCCCCCCTCCTTCCGCCTTCCCCCCCCCCCCGCCTTCCCCCCCCCCCCGCCCTCCCCCCCCCCCCTCCCCCCGCCTCCCCCCCCGCCTTCACTCTGGGTCTGATCTGAGTGGAATCAAAGCCGCCAGAGGAAGTGCAGCCGTGGCTCAAGGGGTGGAACGCCGGCGGGAGCGCAGCGAGAGCGTGAGGCCCTGAGTTCAAGTCTCCTGCTGACAGGGAGCAAGAAGGGAGAGAGAGAAGGAAGGAAGGAGGAAGGAAGTATTTGGGGGAGCGAAGAGAAAGAAAATGAGGAAGGAAGAAGGGAAGATGGAAGGAGGGAGGGGAGAAGGAAATAAAAATGAAGTGGAGGAAGGAAGGAAAAGGGAGGGGAGGAGGAGGAGGAGGGGGGGAGGGGGAGGAGGAGGGGGGGAGGGGGAGGAGGAGGGGGGGAGGGGGAGGAGGAGGGGTGGGGGAGGAGGAGGAGGGGAGGGGGAGGAGGAGGAGGGGGAGGGAAGCTCTAAGCATTACATCGGATCATCGCTCCACCTCTTGAGCCACAGCGCCACTTCCGGCTTTTTGCTGGTCCACTGGCTACACAGTCCCCCGGCCTTTCCTGCCCGGGCTGGCCTCGAACCGCGATCCTCAGGCCCCGGGACGGCCTCGCCTACCCGCCCCGTCGGGCTCCATGCTGTAGTAGGGCTCCACGCACGAGTACCGCGCCACGGCGCCGAACGACGTGTCCTCGGGCTCCGCCACCCGGCCGTGCTCCAGGGGCGCCGGGGGCCCGCAGTCACGGCTGCGGGGGACAGGGGCAGGGGTCACCCCGAGGCCCGGCCTGGGACGGCCAGGAGCCGCCCAGGACCACCAGAAGCTTCTGGAAGCCTGGATTGCCGGCCTGCCCTCTTCCCCAATCCCTCCTTCCCTCCTTCCTTCCTTCCTTCCTTCCTTCTGTCCTCTTTTATTTATTCATTCGTTTCCTTCCTTCCTTTTTTTCCTTTTCTTCCTTCCTTCCCCCCAATCCTTCCTTCCTTTGTTCCTTTCTCTTCCCTGTCTTCCTCCCTTCTTTTCTTTCTCTCTTCCCTTCCCTGGGACTTGAACTCAGGGCCACCCTCTCTCACTGGGCATTTTCCCCTCAAGGCTGGTGCTCTACCCCTTGAGCCACACCTCCACTTTCAGCATTTTGCGGCCTCCTTGGAGACAGGAGAGGCTCACAGACTTTTCTGCCCTGGTTGGCTTTGAACTGCGACCCTCAACATCTCAGCTCCTGAGTCACTGGGATTACAGGCATGAGCCACAGCACTCGGCAGCCTCTTTGGACCAGGTCAGGGCGGGGTCTCCACCTCCTTCATGGCCAGCACCCCTCAAATAGCCCGACTTACCCCCTCTCACGAGCCTAAAATGTCCCCGCGCATGCGAATGTTAACATATTGATCTTTTCTTATTTTTTTTTTCCAGCTCCCCTTGGGAGGAAAAGTCATCAAAGCGCTGGCTTTGAAGAGACACGTACGCTGACACACCAGATCGGGGCTGCTCCACCGCCCATCGCTTTGACAAGAAGAATAGAAAAACGTTGAGCCCACACTGCCCTGGAAACACAGCGAGGCGTCGTTAATTCATTCACAAAAAGACAAACATGAAAAAAGCAACCACCAATGAGATTGAAGCGGGGGGCTCCCGCCTGTCATCCTAGCTGCTCAGGAGGCTGAGATCTGAGGATCACAGTTCGAGGCCAGCCCAGGGAGGAAAGGCTGTTTTTGTGTTTTGTGTGTGTGTTTTTCGTTTGCTTGTTTTTTGTCGGTCTGGGTCTTGAATTCAGGGCCTGGGCGCTGTCCCCTCAGCTCTTCAGCTCCAGGCTGGCTGGCGTTCTACCTCTTGAGCCACAGCGCCACTTCTGGTTTTCTGGTGGTTCCTTGGAGATCAGAGTCTCACGGACTTTCCTGCCCGGGCTGGCTTTGAACTGCGATCCTCTAGATCTCAGCCTCCTGTGTAGTTAGGATGACAGGCGGGAGCCACTGGAGTCTGGCTAGAATAATATTTTTACCTGCACAATTTCGAATCCATCCACACAGGAGATTTTCACCACATCTTTGAACACATATTTGGCTTTTTCCGGCTCCCATATGGAATTGGCTTTGACGTCTTTGGGACATGGGATGGCTTGGGAAAAAAAAAAAAAAAAAAAACAGAAGTGAAACTTCACTACATTACCAGGGAACACTGTCTTCTGGCTCAGTCTCAAACCTCCCACTTGGCCTCAGTTCCCAGACTAACATCTTATCATTCTTGCTCACCACGGGTGCTTTACCGCTTGATCCACGCCCCCAGTCCAGGTTTTTGCTGAATAAGCAGAGCCAGAAATCCCTCAGACTTTCCTACCTGGGCTGGCTTGGAACCTTGATCCTCAGATCTCCTGAGTCGCTAGGATGACAGGCGGAGCCACCAGGGTGCCAACCACTCTACCTATACATTGTTCCAGAGCTTTTGGGACAATGAGAGGTCACTCACGGTCACCATGATAGCGAAGCTTCCAGCCTTTGCTCTCTCCTGTGAGGTCAGTTTGAAAGATGACATCCAGAGTATTACTTCCGGTCTCGATCACCAGAGGCCCAGGAAACCCATGACCGCAGTAAGGACCGTATTGTTGTTTTCTTGACACAAACTGAGAGAGAGAGAGACAGCTGATATTGTTAAGTGAGAACCTACTAGAAGGAAATAAAAAGGCTAAGCCGGGCTCTGTGGCTCCCGCCTGTCATCCCAGCGACTCAGGAGGCTGAGATCTGAGCATCTTGGTTCAAGGCCAGCCTGGACAGGAAAATCCATGGGCCTCGTCTCTCCCATTTACCAGCAAAAAAGCCAGAAGGGGAGCAGTGGCTCAAGTGGTGGAGCACCGGCCTTGAATGAAATAGCTCAGGGGCAGCGTCCAGGCCCTGAGTTCGAGTCCTGGGACTGACACAAAAGATCAAAGAAGTGGCTCGTCCATCACCCACCACTAAATTGTCCTGGCATCTCCCGTCGGCGTCGGCGGGCTCCACGTCGAAGTCTTCTCTCCTCATGGTCACCACTACCTGGAAGCCCTCCTCCAGCTCAATCCGGTACTCACACCTGGAGTTCTCGGGGTACGTACTGGGATAATTGGGGCTCGTGATCTCCCCCTCCAGGGCTGTGAACACGTCCCCCGTGCAATTGACTAGAGAGAAAGAAAAGCAGGAAGAGGACATAAGGTGAGCCGTGTTCTGTTATCTCTTCTGGAGGCTGAGATGTGAGGATCTGAGTTCAAGGCCCGCCCAGGCAGGAAAGTCTGTGATCTTCTTATTTCTCATGGACCAACAAAGAGCTGGACGTGGAGCTGGATCTCTCAGTGGTAGAGCGTCAGCCTTGAAAAAGAACAGGCCCTGAGTTCAAGTCCCAGCAATGGCGTGAAATGAATACGAAATAAAGAAAGACAAAAGGAAGTAAATGAACTGCTGGATTGGCTGTCTGTTCTCTGACCGCCATGCTTCTTTGGAGAGCTATCCCATGGGAAGAAGCCCACTGGGTTTCCATCATCTGGGTTAAGATGGTGGCGTTCACGGTCACGAACGGCCCCAGGCATCTCTGTCTCTCCTCCAGCTACTCATGGGCCCTGGGAGCTGGTGCTGTGTGGATTGGATCTAAAGTGTCTCCTGAAATCTAAGGGGCCTGTGGTACAATTGAGAAGTGGTTAAAAACCTCCAGGGGGGTGGAGCCTAGCGGGAGCAAGTTAGGCCACTGGGGGTGTGGCCTAGCAGGAGGGAGTTAGATCATCAGGAGCATGGTCTAGCAGGAGGAAGTTAGGTGGAAGTTAGGCCACTGGGGCGGGGCCTAGCAGGAGGAAGTTAGGTTATTGGGGGCGTGTTCTCCGGACACTTCCTTCCTTTCTTTTGCTTCTGGGCTGTGGATGTCAGCCAGGACACACTGTACGGCCCAAGCTCAAGGCGGGGACTCACCACCAATGACCTGAGTGCCTCCCGCTAGGCCCCGCCCCTTCCTCTCCCTCTCTGTCTCTCCCTCCTGCCCCTTCCTTTTTTGCTTGCCTCTCTCCCTCTCCCTCCCTCTGTCTGTCTGTCTGTCTCTCCCCCTGCTTTCTGGCCACCCTGAGGCGCACAATTCTCTCCACCATGCACCCCACCATGATGCTCTCCCTCTCCACGAGGCCCCCCCGCAATGGGATGGGCTACAACCCGGAACCCCTATCCCCAAAACCAGCATCCCGCCTTGGCTGCTGTCTCTGTGCTATTTCATCGCAATCCTGGAAATCTGACAGACACAGCGACCCCCTCCTCCCCTCCTGCGGCTCCCCTGGAGTTTTTGGGGTAACGGAGCAAATGGTGGGAGAAAAAGCAGGCTTTTCTGTCCATCCCACATACCTCCGTCTTGTATATTGCTCTTTCTTGGAATCATTTGCTTTTTATATGGCTTTTTTTAATATGCTGTTATTGTTTGTTTGTTGTGCCAGTCCTGGGGCTTGAACTCAGAGCCTAGGCGCTGTCCCTGAGCTGCTTTTGCTCAAGGCGAGCGCTCTACCACTTGAGCCACAGCGCCATTTCCGGTTTTCTGGTGGTTCATTGGGAGAAGAGGCTCATGGACTTTCCTGCCCGGGCTGGCCTCCAAGCACGATCCTCAGACCTCAGCCTCCTGCGTAGCTGGGGTGAACGGATGCAGACCACACGGGGCTCACCTCCACAGTTCCTCATGTCATCGTAGAGGAAGTATTCCGGGGGACAAGAGCAGAAGTAGCCACCTATGAAGTTGTTGCAAAAGTGACTGCAAGGGACATCCAAAAACTCCGTGCACTCGTCCACGTCTACACGAAAAACAGCAGAGAGAGAGAGGTTGAGGACAAAAGACTTGAGATGAGCCCCGAACTAAAATCAGTTTAAGAGTCAGGAAATGTAGCAAAGACTTATTGCTGGACGCTCTTCACCGAGTCAGGTGCTGTGGCTCCCGCCTAGCATCCCAGCTACTCAGGAGGCTGAGATCTGAGGATCGTGGTGCAAGGCCAGCCTGGGTAGGAAAGTCTGAAAGACTCTGATCTCCAATGAACCACCAGAAAACTAGAAGTGGCGCTGTGGCTCAAGTGGTAGAGCGCCAGCCTTGAGCTGAAGAGCTGAGGGACAGCGCGCAGGCCCTGAGTTCAAACCTCAGTACCACCTCAAAACAACATACACACAAAAAGATAGTGGCTTCATTTGTTTTGACTTCCCTTGGTTTTTGTTGTTGTTTTGTCTTGTTTTTGTTAGTTCTGGGGCTTCACCTCAGGGCCTGGGCGCTGTCCCTCAGCTCTTCAGCTCAAGGCTGGCGCTCTACCACTTGAACCACAGCGCCACTTCCAGCTTTTTCTGTTTAGGTGGTACTGAGGACTCGAACCCAGGGCTTCACGCATGCTAGGCAAGCACTCTACCACTGAGCACCTTCCCTTCCTTGCGTTCTTATGGAGATAAAAATAACTACCTCATAGGAATGAGTTCAGCATGATGCTACTATAACTCCAGTTCCTGCCACCAGGCTCAATTCATAGTGGATCTCAGTACATTGCTGTTTATTATTCTACCATTTATTACTACCATCACCATCATCATCATCATCATCAACATTATCATGAAGATACAATTCTATGTTGGAACCTCACAACGACAATTCCTGGAAGGAGCCAGGCCAAGTCAATACATCATGGGCGTTTCTCCTGTATGCGTGCAGTTGCACATGCCTGTAATCCCAGCACCTCAGAGACAAGGAGGAGAGGGAATCACAGGATTGAGCGCCAACCTGGGCTCCACAGCAAAGCCCCGTCTCACACCAACACACCATCTGCTCACTTAATGTAGTGCGTTCTATCTTTCCACTCCCGACCTCCGCTGGACCGGTAGGTGGGGGCAGATGTGGCATCTCTTACCCACGGCCACGTAGTAAGCGGCAAATCCTGTAAATCGCTCTTCATTGGAGAAGTCCGACTTGAAGGTCACCTGGAGTTTATTGTAGGGGACCCGGAATTCTGCCACAATGGGGGAGTCGGCACTCTTTCTGGGTCTCTGTCCACAGAGCTTCCCTTCTTGGATTCCTCCAGACAGTATCTACAGAGGAGCATTCAAAAGAAGTCAGGAAGGCCGGGCACCGGCGCTCCTGCCTGTAATCCCAGCGACTGGGGAGGCTGAGATAGGCGGATCGCAGTCCGCCCAATGCCACGGGTGGCAGGAAAGCCCTTGAGACTCTCATCTCCAATGAGCCAGCAAAAAGCCAGAAGTGGAGGTGTGGATCAAGTGGTAGAGCACCAGCCTTGAGCATAAAGCAGTTCAGGGACGGCGCCCAGGCCCCCTGAAGTTGCAGCCCCGCACCCCTCTTCCTGGGTGTATAATATACCTGCACGAAGTCATACTCGCAGTTTTCAGACAGCTCGAGGTCCAGGTGGGTGAAGTAGAGGTGAACACCGAACCCCTCGGGAACTTCTATGTGCCAGGATGTGTCCACCTCGTTGGGGTACGCCTGGGGATAGTTGGGGGACAGGATCTCTCCATACATGGGGAGTCCCGCATTCACCCAGGTGAACACAGAAAACAGAGCGATGCACCTGGGGGGAGGGGGAGATGGTACAATGAGCCCCCAAGAACCTGGTGGAGAAATGGCAGATGGAAAGGATCGGGCCAGGGGCGTGGGGGGGTGGCGCTGTCCCTCAGCTCTTCAGCTCAAGGCGGGCGCTCTACCCCTTGAACCACAGCGCCACTTCCCGTTTTCTGGTGGTTTATGGGAGATCAGAGTCTCCTGGGCTTTCCTGCCCGGGCTGGCTTTGAACCTCCATCCTCAGATCTCAGCCTCCTGAGTAACTAGGATGACAGGCGTGAGCCACCAGGGCCTGGCTCACGCTGCATTTTCAAGTCACAGCTGGCGCTCTACCACTTGAAACATGCCTCCAGCCTTAGGTGCGAGTTTTCAAAAGGCCTACACCCAAGCCAGGCCTTCGCCGGCTGGCACCCAGCATCCTAGCTACTCAGACATTTGAAAGTAGCTTTGGCAGGAAGGCCCAAGGGACTCCATCTTCGATTAAACCACCAAAAAGCTGGACTGGAGGCCTGGGCCAAGTGGTAGAGCCCCCCGCTGTGAGTGGCAAAAATCAGGCAAGAATGAAAGTCTGTGAGTTCAAGTCCCAGTATTGGGACCCCCTTCCCCACCTCCCCATCCCCCCCCAAAAAAAGGCCTAGAACAAAGCAAGAGCCCCCCAAGATTGGAGCCCCAGTCTTGAGAAGCAGGGAAGGGAGTTGGTGCGTGATCTCGGAGCGCTGAGCACTTACCACGTTTCTAGAGAAGCGTCCATGGCTCCAGGCTGACTCTTGGCGCCTCTTGATGGCCCCCCGCACCAGACACCTGCAAGGGATTCCTCTCTGTGACACCTTCATGAGAACCACACGTAGCTTCCGGCCACGCGGGCTGAACACGTGTCCCCCACTCCCCCCACGCCTCCCAGATCTTTCTCCCCAAGGAGTCTCATGTTTCTCTTGTTGTCTGTGTCTGTGCTAGGGCTGGAACTCAGGGCCTGGCACTGTCTCTGAGCTTTTGTGCTCCAGGCGGGTGCTCTACCACTTGAGCCACAGCTCCACTTCCGGCTTTTTGCTGCGTCCTTGGAGATAAAGAGTCTCACAGGCTTTCCTGCTCAGGCTGGCTTTGAACCGTGATCCTCATATTGAGCTCAGCCTCCTGAGAAGCTGGGATGACAGGCGGGAGCCACCGACTGTTTTAATTCATTACAATCACACAGCACTGGTTTTGGGGAGGGTTTTCATTTTTGTTTTTTGCCATTCCTGGGGCTTGAACTCAGGGCCTGGGCGCTGTCCCTGAGCTTCTTTGGCTCAAGGCTGGCACTCTACCCCTTGAGCCACAGCGCCACTTCCGGCTTTTTTCTGTGTCTGTGGTGCTGAGGAATCGAACCCGGGGCCTCAGGCATGCAAGCCGAGCGCTCTACCACTGAGCCACCTGCCCAGCCCCGAGACAGCACTCTTGATTATGCTCTTTCTGGCTGCTTGTCTTGGTATCTCAGAGGCCTAAGAGAAGAATTCCCTTCTTCAGAGACAGGAGGGCGGAGGAGAGGAATGGAGGGGAGAGGGGGAGGAAAGAAGGAAGGGAAGGAGGGAGGGACTCTGAGAAAAGGGACAACTGAGAAACTCTTACCATCCCATGAATCAGCGAAAAGCTGACACGGAGCTGTGGCTCAAGTGGTAGAGCACCAGCCTTGAGCCGAAAAAGCTAAGGGACAGCGCCCAGGTCCTGGGTTCAAGTGCCAGCTACCAACACGCACTAATAATAACAGCAATGCTGAAACATTCTCTTTCTGATCCTCCATCTTGGCCTCCAGCCTTGCTCTCTGAGGCTCTGGGCCTTTCCTTCGCCTTCTAGAAAGACTCTGAGCTTTATTTATTAAGCTTTTACCTTTCGCCGAGGAAGGGCCAGTACTTCAGTCCTCTGTTCCAGCCCTGGGCATGCTGAGAAGCCCCGGGGGTGGCTGGGAGGGGCGGGGCGGGGCCTGCAAGGCTCCACCCACTCTGCTGGCCCGCCTCTGTCCCCAGCTCTTTTCCCTCCAGTGAATGTGGCTGGCTAACCCCCCCCCCCCCCCCAGCCAACCAGTCAGCCTTGATCTTGAGTTCCCCCTGCTGTTAGAACAAGAACTTTGTGGGTGATTTTCCCCTCACACCCCCGCAAGCCTGAGATAGTTTCACCCACCAAGCCAAAAGACAGGGAACACACGAATGGGGAATTTAACCAATTGCCCAATTCTTGTTCTTGAGCCAAGGGTGTGTGTCGAAGTTTTCCCAGAAATCTGGTGATTTGTAGGAAAGAGAGAGAGAGAGAGAGAGAATTGATAGGAAGAGAGAAAAAGCCAAATGCACAAAGTCCACCCCTAGCTCGGAGCTGGGAGCTGATGCCTGTAATCCCAGCTACTCAGGAGACTGAGATCTGAGGATCGTGGTTCAAAGCCAGCCTGGGCAGGAAAATCCATGAGACTCTTATCTCCAAAGAACTACCAAAAAGCAGAAGTGGTGCTGTGGCTCAAGTGGCAGAGCGCTCACCTTGAGCTGAAGAGCTCGGGGACAGCGCCCAGGCCCGGAGTTCAAGCCCCACCACTGATCAAAAAAAAAAAAAAAAGGGAAACAACTGCTTGTTTTCCCAGACTGTGGGGAGTTCAGAACTGCAGGAAGATGGTAGTTTGAGGCCAGGCTTTATATAAGCATAGCAACACCCTACCTTCACCAGTAGTTGAGTGTGGTGGTACATACCTATAATCCCAGCCACCGAGGAAACCTAACTCCAACGATCAAGTCCGCAGTGGTGGCTCACGCTTGTCATCCCAGCTACTCAGGAGGTTGAGGTCTGAGAATTACGGTTCAAAGTCAGCCTGGGTAGGAAAGTTCAAGACCATTATGACTGGGCTGGGAAGAGTCTCTCAAACTTTCCTGCCTGGGCTGGCCTTGAACCACGATCCTCAGATCTCAGCCTCCTGAGAAGCTGGGATGACAGACGGGAGCCACTGGTGCTGGGCTTCCATGAGAATCTTGTCTCTAATGAACCACTCAAAACTTGGTAGTGGCGCTGTGGCTCAGGTGGTACAGTGCCAGCCTTGAGTAAAAAAGAGGCTCAGGGACTGCGCCCAAAGAGTCACACACGGCTCCTCTGGCTGACCCCGAATGGCCTGCTTGGTCATCTTCATTACAGTGCTAAATGGGGCTCGAACTCAGGGCCTGGGCGCTGTCCCGGAGCTTCAGTGACTCAAGGCTGGCGCTCTCCCACTCTAGCCACGGCTCCACGATGGGCATTTTGCTGGTTTGGTGGAGAAGAGAGTCTCACAGACTTCCCTGCCCGGGCTGGCTTCGAACTGCGATCCTCAGATCTCAGCTTCAACTCTGCACAGGTCGAGGCCATTGACTCCAATGTCAGACGGGTCACTGGGATCCTCCAGCCAGGCTCCACCCAGCCAGGGACTCCAGGACACGCTGGACGTGGGCGGAGCCTTCGGTGGGCGGGGTCTCCAGTGGGTGGAGCCTTCGGTGGGTGGGGCCTAGGAAAGAAGTTGGGTGATTTGAGGCGTGGTCCCCGAATGGGTGGGGGATTTTGTGGGTGGAGCTTAGGGAGGGACTTACGTTAGGGGCGTGGCTTTACATGGGTGGAACCTCCCGTGGGTGGGGCTAAGAAATGTGCTTGGAGGTGGGGGCTTCAGTGGGTGGAGCCTTCGATGGGTGGGGCTTTTGGTAGGTGGGGCCTAGGAAAAATTAGGTGATTGGATCCCCTAGTGGGTGGGGGATTTAGTGGGTGGAGCCTAGGGAGGGACTTGTTAGGGGCGTGGCTTTATTGGGTGGGGTCTTCAGGGGGTGTGGCTAGGGAAGAAATTTGTGCTTGGAGGTGTGGACCTCAGTGGGTGGAGCCGTCGGTGGGTGGAGCCTTTGGTGGGTGGTGTTTCCAGTGGGTGGGGCTAAGAAATGTGCTTGGAGGTGTGGACTTCAGCGGGTGGGTGGAGCCTAGGAAATAAATTAGGTGATTAGGGGCGTGGTCCCACAGTGGGTGGGGCCTAGGGAGGGAATTGAGTGTGGCTTTATGTGGGTGGGGCCTTCAGTGGGTGGGGCCTAGGGAAGAAATTATGAGATTGGAGGCATGGCCCCCCCAGTGGGTGGGGCCTCCAGTGGGTGGAGCTTTAGTGGGTGGGGCCTAGGGAGACTCATGCCATTAGAGGCCAATCTTCCCCTGGCTGCAGCCTTCAGTGGGTGGGGCTAGGGAAGGAATGGTGTGCTTGGGGCGTGGCCCTCAGTGGGTGGGGCCTTCTGGAGTGGGGGCGTGGCTTTTCATGGGTGGAGCTTTCAGTGGGTGGGGCCTAGGGGCAGAAGTTAGGTCATTGGGGGCGTGGCCTTGAGAAGGTAGGACCCTGACCCTGTCTTTTGTGGCCTGGCCACGATAAAGTGCTCTCTCCTGCCCGGCGCTCCAGCCCTGGTGTCCTGACTTACCACAGGACCCTGTGCCCATGAACTGGCACCTGTGAAATCATCAGCCAGGATAATTCTCTTGTTTTTCTTTTTTGCCAATCCTGGGGCTTGAACTCAGGGCCTGGGCGCTGTCCCTGAGCTCCTTTTGCTCAAGGCTGGTGCTCTACCACTTGAACCACAGCTCCACTTCCGGTTTCCTGGTGGTTCATTGGAGATCAGAGTCTCACAGACTTTGCTGCCCGGGTGGCTTTGAACCTCGATCCTCAGACCTCAGCCTCCTGGGTAGCTGGTATGACAGGCGGGAGCCACCAAGGCTCAGCTAAATCTTTCTTCTTAATAAATTGCACTATCTCAGCCAAGTGCTGGTAGTTCACAGCCTGTCATCCCAGCTACTCAGGAGGCTGAGATCTGAGGATCGCAGTTCAAAGCCAGCCCAGGCAAGAAAAGCCCGGGAGACTCTGATCTCCAATGAACCACCAGAAAATCAGAAGTGGCGCTGTGGCTCAAGTGGTAGAGCGCCCGCCTTGAGCTGAAGAGCTGAGGGACAGCGCCCAGGCCCTGAGTTCAAGACACAGGACCACCACCAACAACAAAAAGCAGAGCTTGCGGTTAGTGATGACAAAATGGCCACTACCATTCCAGTCATTCCAGTAGCCAAGGTCATAAGTCACCAGGCAAAGTTCTTATCCCAACTTCCGTTTATTCCAGCTCCCAGTTTGGGGTTTGATTGCTATCAGCCAGAACATTCCAGACTTCTCACTTCTCACAACCCACAGCAAACCACCTTCCAGGTTTTCTGGCTCTGAGTCTCAGTGTTATTTAGGGATTTCCAGTAACCTGGTGTTGAATGCACTAATTTACTTTATCTTTGGAATTTTCCTTTTAAGGACTAGCCTGGAGCTTTTGGGGTTTATTTTTTCTCTACAGGGAGATCCTGCCTTTCAAGATTGGGCCTATTCTTCATCATCAGTCATTTTGTTCTGTTTCTAACTTCACATTTTAGAGGAGCGGTCGTAACTTGGTGCCTGTCACCCCAGCTGCTCAGGAGGCTGAGATCTGAGGATCGTGCTTTGAAGCCAACCTGGGCAGGAATGTCCTTGAGACTCTGATCTCCAATGAACCACCAGAAAACGGGAAGTGGAGCTGTGGTTTAAAGTGGTAGAGTTGTAGCCCTGAGCTTCAGCTCAGGGACAGCGCCCAGGCCCTGAGTTCAAGACTCAGGACCAGCACACACACACACACACACACACACACACACACACACACACACACACACACACACGAGAATGGTCATAATCCATCAGTGAATACCTAGATTAAGGCCATTTTCTCTTTTATTTTTTTTTCCTCCCATGAAATCTGTGATTTGAACTCAGGGCCTGGCCTGTCTGTCGGGTAGATCTACTCCACCCTGTGCCCCACCGTACCCCATAACCTTTCCTCCCTCTCTCATTCGTTAGCCACACCTCCACTTCTGTTCTTGGTTTATCTGAGTGGTTTTCTTGATGGTTAAGGTAAGTGTCAGGGACTTAAGTATCTGGAACTTCCTTGAAATGCAGGTTAAAGCCATTTTTTTTAATACCTTAGAATCCCTTCAATGGCTGACGAAGGATGCCAGTATACTACCAAACATGTATCTGAAGGTAGGCGCTGGTAGCTCACACCTGTAGTTCCAGCCACTCAGAAGGCTGAGATCGAAAGATCACTATTAAGTCCAGGGAAAGAAATCTGGGAGACTTCTTACCTCCAATTCATCAGCAAAAAGGAGGAAGTGGGGATGTAGCTTAAGAGGTAAAGGGTCAGTGGCCGGCAAAGAAGCCCAGCAAGCTGACAGGTGGCGAGTTCAAGTCCCAGTACAGGTGTGAACGTATATGATTCCCGTTGGCCTTTTGGGGGTCTGTTTCCAGCCAGGCACAAGCCCTGGCCATGCTAATGAATGTCGTTCTTATTCATGGTGATTTGAATAGCCCCACCCACCTGGAAGTTAGGCGGCCAGCCAGATGCAGTCCACATCGCTGCGCTATTGGAACTTTGATCAACACGGGGTCTCGCTCCCCCTGGCACGAAAGCCAGTCGACCCGTGAATGAAAGCAGCGAGTGTGAAGCACACGCAGGGAGAAGGTCGTAGTGATTGTTGTTATTATTTTTTACTCTAAGCACGCGGGCTGGGGATACAGCTCCGTGAACAGGGCACTTGCTTCGCAGGCGATGATCAGGGGGTCATCCCCCCAAAAAAACTGATTGACAAGGGGGCGTTTATGAGTTAGTTAATTAGCGCGTGCACGCATGCGGGCAGCCCGGCCTGGACTGGGGCCTGGGGCTCTCGCTGGGCTTTCTTGGTCACAGGTGGTGCTCCACGGCTTGACCCAAGCCTCCAGCCCAGCCTTTTGCTGCTCGCTGACGAGTCTCAAGGACTTCCCAGGGTAGCCAGGGGACGGTGGCTTGCTGTCTTTTTTATTTTTATGTATTTTTTTTGCTATTCTTCTGCCACCAGATCCTGGCAAGAAGTGGGGGAAGGGAGGAGGGGGAGGAAGAAGCCTGGGAGGGAGGGGGAGGAGGAGCAGGGGAGGAGGGGGAAGGGGAGGTGAAGGAGGAGGAAGGGGAGGGGGAGGAGGAGGATGGGAAGAGGAGGAGGGGGGAGGAGAGGAGCAGGGGGAGGAAGGAGAGGGGAGGAGGAAGAGCAGGGGGAGGGGGAGGAGGGGGAGGGGAGAAGGAGCAGGGGAGGGGGAGGAAGAAGAGGAGGAGGAGGGGGAGGAGCAAGGGAGGGGGAGGAGGAGGAGGAGGGGGAGGAGGGGAGGAAGAAGAGGAGGGGGGGGAGGAGGGAGCCGCGGCCCGGCCCTGGTGGCTCACACCTGTCAGCGACTCAGGACGCCGTGACCCGAGGCTGCAAGTTCGAATCCCGCGCGGGCGAGAGCGTCCCGAGGGCTGCGTCCGCCGGACGGGGCGCCGCGGCCGGCGCGGTGGAGCGCGGGCCCAGCCCCGGGCGCCCCGGGTTCGAGCCCGGCCGGGCTGCGCGGCGCGCCGGGGCCGCCGGGAGGCGCCGTTAGGGGGCGCTCGCGAGCCCGGCCGCCGCCGCTCCGTTGCATGCCCCAGTAACCCCAGCGCGCCGCTGACCGCGAGTAACCCCGCGCCCGGCCCCGCCCCCGCCCCGCCCCGCCCGTCGCCTGCTCGCCGCTCAGCCAATGGGAGCGCGGCGAGCGGGCCGGCCGGACAGCGGGCCCGGCTGGCTCCTCCCCCAGCAGTTAGGAGGAGAGTGGTTGGGTCACCGCGCGCCGGGCCCCGAGCGCTCCAATGGCCGCCGCCCGGGGTCGGGCTCCGGCCCCGCCCACCCGGCGCCAGCCTCCGCGCCCCCCCCCTCCCCCCGTCACCTTTGCCTTACAAACGCTCGGCCCCGCCCTCTTCCTACCTTGCTCCGCGAAGCCCCGCCCCGCTGCCCGGCCCGCCCAATCCCCGCGCGGGCCCGGCCTGCGGGGCGGGCCTTCCAGCCAATGCGCGCGCCGTGGGCGGGGCCCCCCCTGGCCGGAATCGGGGGGTGAAGCCGCCGCCGCCGCGCGCTGCCCACACTCGGGGCCCGCGGAGCTCGGGGGCGGGCGGGCTGGGGGGGTCCCCGGGGGGCGCCCGCGGAGAAGATGGCGTCTGCGGCCGAGGGGGGCGCGGGAGCGGCGGCCGGGCCCGCGGCGGGGCTGCGGCTCGGGCTGGACGCGCTGGCGGCCGCGCTGGGCGCGTCGGAGCAGGCGCTGCGGCTCATCGCCTCCATCTTCCTGGGTGAGGACCCCGCGGCCGGGGCCGGGCCCCCCGCGACGCCGGGGGGCGGGGCGGGCTGACCCCTCACCCTGGCTGTGCCCTCTGACCCCGCACCCACCCCGCACCCAACCGACTGTGCCCTCCGACCCCCTTCATTGACCCCCGCACCCCAACCGTCCACCAGGCTCACCCCTCAACCCTGCTGTGCCCTCTGACCCCTTATCCCCCCAGCACCCCATCTGGCTGTGCCCTCTGACCCCCAGCACCCCAACCTGTCCACCAGGCTCACCCCTCAACCCTTCTGTGTCCTCTGACCCCTTACCCACCCCAGCACCCCATCTGGCTGTGCCCTCCGACCCCCTTCATTTATCCCCAGCAACCCAACTGTCCACCAGGCTCACCCCTCAACCCTGCTGTGCCCTCTGACCCCCAGCACCCCAACTGTCCACCAGGCTCACCCCTAATCCCTGCTGTGCCCTCTGACCCCCAGCACCCCAACCTGTCCACCAGGCTCACACCTCACCCCTGCCCTGCTCTCCCACCCCCCCTCAGCACCCCATCTGGCTGTGCCCTCTGACCCCCAGCACCCCACCTGCTCACCAGGTTCACCCCTCACTCCTGCTGTGCCCTCTGACCCCTCCCCCTCCCCAGCACCCCATCTGACTGTGCCCTTTGACCCCCTCCACCCACCCCAGCACCCCACCTGTCCATCCAGCAAGCCCAGTGCTGTGCGTGGCTGGCCGCGTGGGGACCTCCCGTGTCCTGTTGGAAGGATCTCCTCCCCTCTGCCCTGGCAGACACCCCACCTGCCATTTACCCCCCAGTGCTGGGGTTGGAGGAACGGGGCGCAGTCTCCCCTGTAAGCGCCTGACACTCGCCGGCGGTGTGAGATTCCACCCAGCGTGGTTCACAGGGAGCCGCGGGGTGAACTTAGGCCCCGGCCAGCTGGGTTGGAACTGGCCTGTAGACTTTATTCCTTGGGGTGTCCTCAGAGAGATAGGGTGGCCTCCTCCCAGCCCGAGGAAGGCAACCCCTGGAGCCAGGGCTGAGAACTGGAGATAAACCAGTTTGATCTGAACGGGGGACGCCCACCTCTAGCTGTGAAGATGATCCTAACCGTCCTGTAGAAACGCTGAGGACTTTGCCATGGTTGGGACCCCTTGTAGCTTTTCATGGATGCTTTTTTTCCCCTGTCCTGCTGGGCTTTGAACAGTGATCTTCCCATCTGGGCCTCCTGATGAGCTGGGATTACAGGCGTGCGCTCCCCAGCCCGGCTGGAGTATTGAATAAGGGTAGTAACACTTGGGCTTGGGAGGGTCAGAAGTGGGCGAAAACTTAAGCCAAAAAGGTATGGCTTCCAAAAATCTGTACTGTGAGAAGTTTGGAAAGTGGGGAACACAGGCCCTGGCATCTAATACCACATCCGAGGGCGAGCCCAATCCAGATAATGAGAAAGGGGTATTAATTCATATTTAAACAGCCTTGGCTGATCCCCCTGCCCAGCACCTGTTCATACCAAAGCCAAGTGAGGGTCGGGTACTCCTCTTCCTGGTAGAACTGTGAAGTCACTGGCTGCCAGCCGACTTCAAAACAGAATCCACATTTATCCTGTGTGCCAGGCTAGCTTTGAACTTCCCACCCTTTGAACCTAGCTTCTGACGCACTTTGGAGCTGCAGTTGGTAATTAAGAGTGTTTACCTTCCTCATTGGGAGGGAAGCGCTTCCTTGACTGTCTGCTGTAAAGCCACCCCGGATTTACTGCCAGGACTTGGAATTTGTCTGCTGGGTTGGTTTTTTTTTGTTGTTGGTGGTGGTGTTTTGGTTTTGTCGATTGTGGGACTTGAACTCAGGGCCTGGGCGCTATCCCTGAGTTCTTTTGCTCAAGGCTGGTGCCCTACCTTAAGCCATAGCTCCACTTCTGGTTTTGCTGCTGCTTCATTGGAGATCAGAGTCTCCCAGACTTTTCCTGCCCGGGCTGGCTTTGGATCATGATCCTCAGATCTCAGCCTCCTGAGTAGCTGGGATTACAGGCGTGACCACCAGTGCCCGGCTGGCTTGACCATTTTGGTGGTGCCCCCTGCCTTCCTAAGCCATTTTCTTCTGAAAAATCATAGGATTTCTTTAATCTGTGTCTCAGAGTAAAGTGCTCAGCTGGGTTTGAGGTGGAGTCCAGGCAGAGGTTAAATACAGTCACGCACGTACACAGAAACCTGTGTAAGCTCAACAAGTTTCAAGGACAGAGCAGTGTGTTTTGGGTGTAATCACATTCTTCTTCCGGAGGGAAACCCAGAGCCTTTAGCATAGGAGTTCCTGGTTCCTAACTGCCCCCCATCAATGCCAGTAGTGGGGCTCGAACTCAGGGCCTAAGCTCTGTCCCTCGGGGCTGAGACTTTACCACTTGAGTCACACAGCTCTAGTTCTGTCTTTTTTTGCTGGCTCATTGGGAGATGAGTCTCCCACTTTCCCGCCTGGACTGGCTTAGAATGATGATCCTCAGCTCTCAGCCTCCGCTTGGGTAGCGGGGATTACAGGCGTGCACCTGGGCTCCAAGCTGGAAGCAGTATTCTGGAGAGGCAGGAGCAGCAGGAAGAGGATGTGTATTGGGGGCTGTACGCGAGATAGAAAGCTTTATTAGATGTTAAGGAGGAGGAGGCACCTTCGTTAACACTGGACTTTGGATGCTGAGTACAAGGTTTCTGTAGATTCCGAGTGAAACTTGAAAGAAGGCACGTGAGCCGGGCACTGCTCATCACGCCTGTAATCTCGGCTCCTCGGGAGGTTGAGATCTGAGACTCCTAGTCCAAAATCAGCCTGAGCAGACGAAAACAGAAAAGATGTGTGTGATTCTTACCGCCAGCCAATCACCAAAGAGCCAGGAGTGGAAGTGTGGCTCCAGTGGCAGAACGTAAGTCAGAAAGGAGCAGATGTCAAGGTCCTGGGGTAGAAATGTTGTGGAGACGGCAAAGTGGCAGGAAGCGAGACTAGTTGAACTAGAAGATGGAGAGGAAGCTGTACTGAGCGAGAACCCTCCAGAGCTTGGGCAGGAGGCCGGAGCTGTCCTTAGGGCAGGCCGGCCGCCATTTGCCTTTGTGCAGCCCTTCCTGCCACAATCTGATCAAAGCGCCCTGTCACCTTCCGGTCCCTCCGCCCACATCAGTCACCCCACGCTGAGGTGAGCCTCCAATCTACCTCCTGTCTTATCGCCACAGCTACCAGCCATCTGTGCATAGCACCTGACTGCTTTCCAGAATTCTCTTCCTGCCCTTTTCCTGTCCCCTCGCCAAAATAAAAGCACCCAGAGTGACGCCATTCTGTGCCTTTCCTGGCTGCAGTGGCCCTGCCTGCTGCCTGGGCCTGGTCCCAAGCCAGGCTTCCACCATGAGACAGGTGATCTAACTCCCATTCTTCAGCAGGCTTTTACGCAGCCGGGTGCCGTAGCTCCAGCCTGTAATCCTGGCTGCCTGGGAGGTAGAGGATGGAGGATTGAGGTTGAAGGCCAGCCCCAGGTGTAGAGAATCTTGAGGCTGCCCTTTCTGGGTGTGGTGGGGTGAGCCTGTCATCCCCAGCCACCACAAGGGGGGGGGGGGGCAGTGGCTGGGCGTGGTAGCGTCTGCCCCAAATCCCCGCCCTACAGGAAGGACAAATAGGTGGATTAAAGTCCGGCCTGGAGCCGACTTCAGAAATAGCCAAAGCAGCAAACAGCCAGAAGTGGAGCTGTGGCTCCAGTGGGAAGATGCTTGCTGGGTGATTGAATAAAGCAAGGACAGCGTCCAGGTCCTGAGTTCGAGTCTCAGGCCCGGCGCATGCGCACACACAACACACAGAAACGGAAGGAGAGACGCCGTGCTAGGGGTCAGCAGTGGTATCATAACTGAATGGGGGGGGGGGGGATCCGGTGCTGTGCTAATGACATGCTAATCGTATGCTAATGAGCGACAGGCCTTTGCCATGTGATAATTATCGGGCTGTTAGAATTTCCCCTGAGCGAAGCGACAGGGCGCAGCACGCACAGATCCAAAAGAAAAACAACATGTCCCCCTCAAAGAAGCCAAGCCGGGCACCGCGGCTCACGCCTGTAATCCCAGCTACGCAGGAGGCTGAGAGCTGGGGCTCACGGTGGAAAGCCAGCCCCAGCAGGAAAGTCTGTGAGTTCAAATCCTAGCACTAGCATGGAAGGAAGGAAGGAGGGAAACGAAACCTGAGCGGTCTGGGTCCCGTGGCTCTCGGCTGTAATCCTAGCCTACTACCCAGGAGGCTGAGATCTGAGGATCGTCACTGGAGGCCAGCCCAGGCCTCCACAAATAGGTGGCTCAAGTGGTAGAACACCAGCTTTGAATGAAGAGCTAAGGGATTGTACCTTAGGCCCTGAGTTCAAGCCCCAGTACCAGCGCACACGCACACACAAAGTTACAAAGACCCCATTTCACTCAGCGGCTGGGCCCAGTGGCACCTGTCTGCCGTCCCGGCCAAGACAGCTAACAGTTTGATTAAGCTCTGCAGACGGGAGGCCGCCAGCCTGTGTGTCCCGGGGTGGATTCCTGGTGGCTCTCGAGGCTTCCGTTTCTGCTGTGATGGCAATTCTAAACTCAGAGAGACTTGGACGCCTCTCCAGCCTGCTCTCCATAAATATAAAAGCACCGCAATGAGCCAGCTGGCACGGCGGCCCGGCCACCCCAAGGACACCCCGAGGGCACCCCCGGAAAGGGATGGGTTGACTAAAGGTGGGGCGCGGTAAACCCAGCAGCTACTCAACCGCCGAGCGCCGCGTCTCACGCCTGTAATCCTGGCTTCTCAGGGTGGAGATTCAAAGCCAGACTGGCCGGGCCATTATGAGATGGGGTCTGAGGCTCAGGCAGTAGAGCTGGACAGAAGCCACCACGCCCACACGCCGGGCCCCGGGTTCGAGCCTCAGTCCTGACCCACACAGAGGGTCACTCTCTAGCTCAAGGATGATTGGGCCTCGCCTTTTCATTCTTGGTTGGCTCTCTGAAGGAAGAGGTTAAACCTTGAGAACTTCTACAGTGTGTGTGTGAGCGCGTGCGTATGAGCGTGCGCTGGGATTACAGGCGTGAGCCACAGTGCCCGGCTCGGAGGCAACTCCAAGGTCACACACCGGCGTTAACCAGATCCGGTGGTTGGCATTTCTCCGTTCAAAGGGTAGAGCGCCAGCTTGGAGTGAAAAAGCTCAGGGACAGGCCCCGAGTTCGAGCCCCACAACTGCCCCCCCTCCACACCTTGTTGTGTGTTCTGGAGGCTGGAGCGACGCCCTTGGGAGCCGCGTGTGCGGAGGCTGTGGAGAGGGCAGGCGGAGGCCGGTCGGGTTGGACCAGGGCCGCCACTCCGGCTGCACCAGACACCAAGCCTTGAAGGAAGGCCGTGGCAGGGCCGGCGCCCCAGGCAGGTGGACTTGCGGCCGGGCTCCGTGCGCACGCCTGTCATCCCGGCCCGGGTGGCTGAGAGCCGCCGGCAGCCAGGCCCGAGACTCCTGAGAACGGGCCCAGCATCGGGCCGGGAGTTCACACCCCGGGACTGGCTCAAGCCCCTGCCCTTTGGCCTGTCTGTCTGCCTGTCTGTCGGCCTGCCAGTCTTTCTGTCTGTCTGTGTCTGTCTCCTTGACTGTCTGTCTGTCCGTCCGTCTGTCAGCCTGTCTGCCTGCCGGTCTGTCTGTCTGTGTCTTTCTGTCTGTCGGCCTGCCTGTCCGTTTGTCTGTCTGTCTGTGTTTGACTGTCTGTCCGTCCGTCCGTCCGTCTGTCCGTCGGCCTGTTGGCCTGTCTGCTGGTCAATCGGTCTGTCTGTTGGCCTGTCTGCCTGCCTGCCGGTTGGTCAGTCCGTCTATCTGTCTGACTGTCTGTCTGTCTGTCCGTCTGTCTGGCCTGTGTCCGCTGCCCCCATGAACGTGGGGTCCGCACCTGCGATGCCAGCAGCGGCCCTGCGGGTCTGAGACCCCGGTGGACTGGGGTGGGCCTGAGGTGCAGAGGCCAAAGCGGCTGTCCTGGGCCCGCCCCTCTTCTAGAACTTTCCAGAGCTTCTTTCTGGAACCTTCCAGTCCTTAGGTGTGTGGTGCAGCCGGACAGCTCTGCGAGCTTCGTGCCACCGTCCAGCCCGGGGCTTGAACTCGGGGCCCGGGCGCTGCCCGAGCCGCCAGCGCCAGGCAGGACCCCGGCAAGGGCTCCCGGCCCCGGCCAGGCCGCCAGCGCTGGGGCCCCGGCCCGGGCGGGGAGGCCCGGCCTGGGAGGCCCGGGCGGGGAGGCCCGGCCTGCGGAGGCCCGGGCGGGCCGGTTACAGAGAACGGCCGCCCGGGCGTGAACCCTGCGCCCCACGCCCCGCGGGCCCGTCTTTCGTATCTGGCTGCTGGGGGATCGGCAGCTCGGCTGCGGGAGGGGCCGTGAGTCAGCGCAGCCGGGCGCGGCCGGCACCTGGCGGTTCCCCGCGGCCCCGCCCCGCCCCGCCCTGCAGCCCGCGGGCGCTGCGCGGACGCCGCCTGCCGGCCGGCGGCGACACTGCAGCTCAGCCCTGCTCTGCGCGCGTGCCTGCGTGCGCGTGCGTGCCTGCGTGCGCGTGCGTGCCCGTGTGCGCGCCTGTGCGGGCCTGTGCGTGCCCGTGTGCGCGTGCGGGCCCGTGTGCGCGTGCGGGCCTGTGTGCGCATGCGTGCCCGTGTGCGCGTGTGCCTGTGTGCGCATGCGTGCCCGTGTGCGCGTGCGTGCCCGTGTGCGCGTGCGTGCCCGTGTGCGCGTGCGTGCCCGTGTGCGCGTGCGGGCCTGTGCGGGCCTGTGCGGGCCTGTGTGCGCAGCACACCCCCAGACTTCACAAATAGGCGCGCAAGCCAGGCTGGAGCTCACAGGCAGGGAGCCACGCGCGGCGTGCGGCCGGCGCTGTGGAACATTCTGGAATGGGAGCGCGTCGTGGCTGGGGGGGACGGGCAGCTCCTGCGGCCGAGTCAGCCCCGGGCCTCAGCCGCGCGCGGAGGCTGCGGGCCGAGGCCGGGACGGGAGGCCGCCGCACCCCCGTTCCAGAACGAGCTTCCAAGGCCCTCCCCCCCAGGCTACCCGCTGGCCCTGCTGCACCGGCACTACCTTTTCTACTCCGACAGCTACCTCATCCACCTCTTCCACGCCCTCACCGGCCTCGCCATCGCCTACTTTAACTTCGGTGAGTGGGGCTGGAGGAGGAGGCGCGGGGCGGACCCCCCACAGCCCCGCACCAGGCGGAGCCCGCCGAGTGTGCACGTGGCTGGGCGCCGTAGCGCACGCCTGGAATCCCGGCTACTCAGGCAGCTGAGCGCTGCCGGCTCAACTCGGATCCCACTGTCACGACAGAGGGGCGGCCCTGGGACCGTTCCGGGCGTCCTCGGGGAGGGAGCCTGGGCGCTCGCAGCCGGCTCAGCTCTGTCTCCTGCCCCAGGGTACCAGTTTTACCACTCCCTGCTGTGCGTCCTGCTGCAGTTCCTCATCCTCCGGCTCATGGGCCGCACGGTCACCGCCGTCCTCACCACCTTCTGCGTCCAAATGGTAAGCGCCGTTCCCCGCCACCGGCCAGGCCCAGCGCCTCACGCCTGTAGTTCCAGCTGCTCAGGAGGCTGAGATCTGAGGATCGCAGTTCAAAGCCAGCCCAGGCAGGAAAGTCCGTGAGACTGATCTCCAGTGAACCACTAGGAAACCGGAAGTGGTGCTGTGGCTCAAGGGGTAGAGCACCCGTCTTGAGCAAAAAAAAAATCTCAGAGACAGCGCCCGGGCCGGCCCTGAGTTCAAGTCCTTGGACCGGCACATCCGATTCCCATCTCAGCTCGCACATTTGGCTCAGGGTCGAGCTCAGCCTCTCCAGCGATGGGACTACAGGCGTGCGCCACCATGCCCGGCTGCCCGGCCTGGCTTTAAACCTGGACCTCAGCTCTCAGCCTCCTGAGCAGGAACAGGAAAGCACACGAGGGATTTCATTCAGAGCAAGGAGGAAATAAAGACCCCGAGGTGGCGGGCTCACCCGCAGGGGTTGGGGGGGCAGTAACGACGCCCTCTCTCCCAGGCCTACCTTCTTGCTGGCTACTATTACACCGCCACGGGCACCTACGACATCAAGTGGACGATGCCGCACTGTGTGCTGACGCTGAAGATGATCGGTGAGTCCCGAGGATCCGGAGGATCGCTGTCCCACACATCCGGGCCCTCCACCCCCCCCCTCACTTTCTCTCTCTCTGCTCAGGTTTGGCCATCGACTACTTCGATGGAGGCAAAGACCAGGTAAAGCCCCAGCCGTTCCCGTTAAACGCTGTGAGGGCCACGGAGAAGGTGCCCGCAGATCACCAGGGACAGCTCTGCCTCAGTTTCCCCCCCAGCCCCTTCCCCCAGAGCAGTGAGCCTCCAGGCTCCCCAGGTCGAACTCGTCCGGGACGCAGCCACTGCGCCAGGTCCGGAGGTTCGAGGCCAGCCTGGCTCTGGCTGTTGCTAGGCAACGCCCCCCCCCCCACATGCTCAGTCGGACCGGAAGTGGGCTCCGATCCCCTGAGCCGGCCTGTTCTCTGCCCGGCACAGAACTCCCTGACCCCAGAGCAGCGGAAGTACGCCATCCGCGGGGTCCCGTCCCTGCTGGAGGTCGCGGGGTTCGCCTACTTCTACGGGGCCTTCCTGGTGGGCCCCCAGTTCTCCATGAACCACTACCGGAAGCTGGTGCAGGGGCAGCTGACGGACGAGCCCGGGAAGGTGCCCAACAGGTACCGGACACGCCCCCTGGGCCCGGACACGCCCCGTGCCTGGGCCACGCCCCTCCCCTCCAGCATCCTGCCGGCCACGCCCCCTGGGCCTGGACACGCCCCGTGCCCGGGCCACGCCCCCTCCCCTCCAGCATCCTGCCGGACACGCCCTGTGCCCGGGGCCACGCCCCCTCCCCTCCAGCATCCTGCCGGCCACGCCCCCTGGGCCGGGACACGCCCCGTGCCCGGGGCCACGCCCCCTCCCCTCCAGCATCCTGGGCCTGGGCACGCCCCTGGCTGGCCACACCCCCTGTCTAGACATACCCCTAGCTGGCCACGCCCTTCTTCCACCTTGCTCCCAGGGCCTGGACGTGCCCTATGCAGGCCACACCCTTCCCAGACCCTGGACCTGCCCTTACTATCAGGCCACGCCCCCAGGTCCACACCCTTTGTCAGGCCTTCCGCCCCTTCCGATGCGACTTGTTCCTTCCCAGCACCATCCCGGCCCTCAAGCGCCTGAGCCTGGGCCTCGTCTACCTGGTGGTCTACACCCTGCTCAGCCCGTACATCACCCACGACTATCTCCTCACTGACGACTACGAAGTAAGTGCCGGCCGAGGGCGGACGGCGCGGGCACCGGCAGGGGCCCCTGTAGGTAGCAGAGGAGTCCGCGCCATCTCCACTGTATAGGCGTTGCTCTAGATCTGTGAGCTGGCATCGGCACCCCGTGCATCAGCCATTGCTGGACGCCCCACGCCCTCAGGGCTGAGGGGGGCTCCTCAGCCCCGCCCCACCCCAGGTGCCTCGGGGAGCAGCGGAGCTGTGGCTGCTCCAGCCTGTTGTCTGCTCCCAAGTGACAAGATAGAGGGAGAGAGAAAGCCGCCTCTGGCTCTTGTCAGGGTCAGGGCTTATCCTTACTTAGTTTTGTGCCGGTCCAGAGCTGGGGGTCGAGCCCCAGAGCATCTGGAGAGGAGTCAGACTCCTTCCCCGGTGGGCCTCAAGCTCGGATCCTCCCGTCTGGGCCTCCCTGAGTCGCGGAATGACAGGCGAGGCGCCCTGCAGCTTCCGGTCCTAACTTCTGCGCTGGGTTGAGCGCGGTGGCAACAGACGGGGGGCCGGGGCTCCCCAAGTGGAGGTGCGGCCCGGTGAGGAGGCCCAGTCCCCGCCGGCGAGCGCCGTCTCGAACCCCGGCTCCGCCCCGCCCGCCCGCAGAGCCGCCCGCTCTGGTTCCGCTGCGTGTACCTGCTGGTCTGGGGCAAGTTCGTGCTGTACAAGTACGTCACCTGCTGGCTGGTCACGGTGAGTCCCGGCGGGGGGCGGGGCCGGCTGGGGAGGGGCGGGGCCGCAGGGCGGATGGGGCGGGGCCAGCCGGGGAGGGGTCTGTGGGTGGGGCTGGCTGGCTGGGGAGGGGGCGGGGCCAGCCGGGGAAGGGTCTGTGGGTGGGGCTGGCTGGCTGGGGAGGGGCGGGGCCTGCCGGGGAGGGGTCTGTGGGTGGGGCTGGCTGGGGGCGGGGCCGCAGGGCGGAGGGGCGGGGCCTGCCGGCCCGGGAGGCGGTGCGGCGCAAACCCCGGCGTTGGCCGCAGGAAGGCGTGTGCATCCTCACGGGGCTCGGCTTCAACGGCTTCGGCGAGGATGGGAGAGCCAAGTGGGACGCGTGCGCCAACATGAAGGTGTGGATGTTCGAGACCAACCCCCGCTTCACCGGCACCATCGCCTCCTTCAACATCAACACCAACGCCTGGGTGGCCCGGTGAGCGGGGCGGGGGGGACGGGGGTCCCCCACCCCGGCCCCCCCGAGCCCGCGCGGAAGCCCCCCCAGCCCCATCCCGGCCCCCAGCGCAGGCCTGTCACCCCGCGGGCGCCCAGGGACCGGCCCCGGTGCTCCCGCCTGGGGTCCCAGCTGCCCAGGAGGCTGAGATCAGAGGATCGCAGTTTGAGGCCAGGCAGGAAAGTCTGTGAGACTCTCGCCTCCATTTCCACCAAAAAGCCGGAAGGAGCGCTGTGGCTCAAGGGGCAGAGCGCCAGCCTCGAGGAAGAAAGTCTCAGGGACGGTGCTCAGGCCCTGAGTTCAAGTCCTGGGCTGGACAGACGCACGCACGCGCGCGCGCACACACAGGCCTAGCTTCTAATCCCAGAGCCCAGCGCTTCTCCGGCTGTCAGCTCAGCCCCCAGACTCGGGAGTCCCCCCTGTACCCTCGTCCTGCGTGCTGGGGAGGGGAGGCTCAGCCCTGTGCCTCCCCCCCTCCCCAGCTACTTCTTCAAGCGCCTCAAGTTCCTGGGGAACAAGGAGCTGTCGCAGGCGCTGTCGCTGCTCTTCCTGGCGCTGTGGCACGGGCTGCACTCGGGCTACCTCATGTGCTTCCAGATGGAGTTTCTCATCGTGGTCGTGGAGAAGCAGGTGCCCCGGGGTGCTGGCCGCAGGGAGGGGAGCAGGTGCACCTTGGTGATCTTTTTTCCCTTTTCTCAGTCGTGGGTCTTGAACTTAGGGCCTGGATGCTGTTCCAGGTCCCTTTGAACCACGATCCTCCTATTTCCATCTCCCTACTGAGTAGCTGGGACTACAGGCGTGAGCCACCGCGCCCGGCACCCTTGCCATCTCCAGGCCTTGGCTTTTCCTCTGCAGGCCGCCAACCTCATCCGAGACAGCCCAGCGCTGAGCGGCCTGGCCTCCGTCCCGGCCCTGCAGCCGCTCTTCTACCTGATCCAGCAAACCATCCACTGGCTCTTCCTGGGTTACTCCATGACCGCCTTCTGTCTCTTCACCTGGGACAAATGGCTGAAGGTCAGGCTGCTGGCCGGTGTAGAGGCCCAGGGCCTCCCCGGGGCGGGGCCTCCCCAGGGCCCGGCTCAGCAGCCTCCTCTCCCTCCAGGTGTACAGATCCGTCTACTTCATCGGACACGTCTTCTTCTTGAGCCTCCTGCTCATCCTGCCTTACATGCGCAGAGCCTTGGTACCACGGAAAGAGAAGTTGAAAAGAATGGAATAGCCAATTCCCCCCGGGTGAGTCTGGCGATTACAGGCCACCACAGCGCAGCCCGGCTGCACACTCGCTATGGGGTGGCGGCTGCTTGCCCTGACTTATTCAAGAGGGAAGGAGGGGTGACCACAGGCTGTAGCAACATAGCCCGGCTGCACACTGGCTGAGGTGGCGGTGGCTTGCCACTGGGACCCCCCATGGGACTGCCTGGCAACCCACCCCCTCACTGTCCCCTAGGTGGCCTACGGCAGGAATGGTGCAGAAATGTTTCCTCCACGGCACTCCCTAGGCCCAGAGCACAGAGTCCTAAGGAGCCGGGAGCAGCGTCTCTGCCAGCGAGTGTCCCCGGCCAGTGGGGAAGCTCTCGTGGGAGGAGCCGGGGGCCGCACCCCCTTTTCGGGCTCCCCCATGCACGTTGCCTTATCTCTCCCCCCACTAGCCAGGAAGCTGTTGTATTCTTCTGCCAATCTCCTCCGAGCTGAGCGCGGCCGCCGGGGGGGGGCTCTGGGGGCCGCCCGCGCCGCCTTTTCTATCTCGGACTCTACCGGATAAAACTCACTTCTGTGTGTTCCGTTTTTCCACTGCCTGCGTCCCGCCTGCCTTCTTTCCCGCTGGGGGGGGGGGGCACGCCCTCGTATCCTGGGGTCCCACCCCCGGCCGAGCCAGGGGTGCCCCACAACGCTTAGAGCACCAGACGTGGCTCCAGATGGGACGCCTCCCCCCAAACGCCGGGTTTAGGGGTACTGTAGCGCACGCCTGTCATCCCGGCCACTCAGAGGCCGAGCGCTGAGGATCAAAACCAGCCGGGACAGGAGCGTCCGCGAGGCCCGGCCCCGCAGCGACCCTCCGAGGAGCTGCCCGAGACGCAACACAAGACTTACAGAAAGACCATTTAATAGAAACAGCCATGAACGGCGGGCGGGGGGGGGGGAAGGGTCAGGACCTGGGGGCCCCCGGCCGTCACAGCACCCCCCACGCCTCTTCGAAGGCCGAGGTGAGCTTGGCGCAGGTCAGGGCCGCAGACAGCGGGTAGTTGCTCAGGGACACCGTCCGCTCCGTGTAGTCCACGTCCACCTGCGGACGCAGAGGCCCGGATGACGGCCCGGCCCCGCCCGGCTGCGGGACACGGGCGCTGACCCCGCACGGCCTCCCCGGGCCCCGGGGCCGCGCTTACCTGGCCGTGGGCGAAGGCGCCCACCACGAACACGATGGGGTCGGCGCCGGGCACCAGCTCCCGCACGTCGCTGACGGGCGCCGAGAAGGAGGTGGCCACCTTCACGCAGCCCGCGGGGAAGTGATCCGACACGGGGTTCTTGATCACCTGGGGGCGCGGGGCAGGGTCAGCGCCCCGGACTCCGCCCCCCGGGCCAGGCCCCGCCCCAAGTCAGGCCCTGCCCCCTGCCAGGCCCCGCCCAGGCTCCCCAGCCCCGCCCCTAGTCAGGCCCCGCCCAGGCTCCCCAGCCCCGCCCCTAGTCCGGCCCCGCCCCCGCCGGGCCCCGCCCCGCACCTTGAGGAGCTTCTGGGGGCCGTCAGCCGCGCGGACGCTGAGTTTGTGCAGAAGCTGGACTGGGGGAGGAGGCGGGCCGGCGGGTCAGGGGCCGCCTCGCGGGCAGGGCGCCGCTCTCGGGGCGGAGGTTCGAAGCCGGGCGGCGAAAGGCTGGACCAGGAGCCGCGGCTCGAGCGGTCGAGCGCCACCGGGAGCAACGAGGGCGCCCAGCCGCGTGCAAGCCCGCCCGGGCCCGCACACACCCGCACACACCCGCCCGGCCCTCCCGCAGCGGCCTCTCACCCATGAGGCCGCAGAAGCGGTCGAAGGTCCTGGGGATCCGCGTCTGGGGGTTCACCTCGATCAGCACGTTCTTCTGCGTGTGGATGTACACCTGCAGCAGCCCCGCGCGGTTCAGAGGGCTGTCCATCAGCATCAGCAGGCTCTGGGGAGGGCGGCCGCCGTCAGCATGCGCCGGGCCGCGGCCACGGTAGATTGCGATTGCGCGCCAGCGTGCACTGGGAGGCGGGGCCTCGCCAGGCTGTGCGTGGGGCGGGGCTGTGCACACGCTCGGAGGCGGAGCTGTGGGCGGGGCCTCGCCAGGGGCTGTCGTGGGGGCGGGGCTGTGCACATGCTCGGGGCGGGGCTGTGGGCGGGGCCTCGCCAGGGGCTGTCGTGGGGGCGGGGCTGTGCACACGCTCGGAGGCGGAGCTGTGCGCAGCGCGGAGCCTCACCAGGCTGTGGGAGGGGGCGGGGCCGTGCACTCGCGCAGGGGCGGGGCTTGCGTGGGGCGGGGCCTCGCCAGGCCCCACCCCCGGTACCTGGTGGGTGATATCCGGCCTCACTTCGCCCGGGTCCCGGCCATTCTTGAGCAGCACCGACTTGTGCTTGTCGCAGTTGAGCAGCTCGTACGTCTTCCCCGCCTGGACAAGGGGCCCGGATGAGGGCGTTACACGCGGGGGGGGGGGGGGGAGGGCGCGACGCTGCGGGGCGCGGGCCAAGGCTGGGGCCGCAGCTCAAGGCCCGCGCTCCACCACCGGAGCCTCGGCGCCACTTCCGGCTCTCTGGTGGTTCGAGGGGTGACGGGCGGGCCGCGGCTCCCCGCTGCTCTTAGCCAGCGGCTGTAGAATCTGGGACGTGCTGGAGTTTCTCGGGGCCCCGCGAGGCCCCGCCAGGTGAGGCCGGAGTGACAGGTAACTGCCCCCCCCCACGCATGCGCATCAGGTCTGGGGCCAGGGGCGCGCTCCCAACACCAGATGGGATTGGCTAGGAAGGGGCGGGGCGACTGCGGCGCAGCCAATCAGGTGCCAGCGACTCACACCCGCCACCCCCGCTGCTGGGGAAACCGGAGGACGGCGATCCACAGTCGGAAGAACCTTCCACCTAACGAAACTGGCTGCCTCGCACGCATGAGGCCCTGGGTTCGATCCCACAGGACCACGTACACGGAAAAAACCCGGAAGTGGCTCTGACTCAAGTGGTCGAGCGCCAGCCTTGGGCACAGGGAGGCTCAGGCAGTGCCCAGGCCCCGAGCTCAAACTCCAGGACCGGCAACAAAAAAAGAAACTGGCGGCGTGCCCCTAGCCACGAGAGGAATCCTCAGACACACCGAGCGTGTTAGAAACAGCCGGGCACCGGGGCCCGCCGGTCACCCCAGCCACTCAGGACGCGGAGATCTGAGGATCTCGGTTCGAAGCCAGCCTGGGCAGGGAAGTCCGTGAGACGCTGATCGCCAATAAACCGCCAGAAAGCCAGAAACAGCGGCTCAATATGTCCCTTGAGCAAAAGAGCTCAGGGACAGCGCCCAGGCCCTGAGTTCAAGCCCCACACCTGACAAAGAACCAGCACATAACAGAGTTGGAGATGTCACCTGTGGCACCACACCTCCTCTAAAAAGAACTTTAGAGGGACAATTCTCAGTTTTAGTAAGGTGGCAGCCAGGCAGGCTGGCTCATGTCTATAACCTCATATCAACCAAAAGCTAGGTACAGTGGTAGGGGCCACACCTGTAGTCCCAGCTACCTGGTGTGTGCCAGCCCAGAAGGAAAAAATAAAAAGCTCCCGAAAAGTGAAAGCTAAAAAAAGGGGGAGAGAGCGGTTTGGCACAAGTGGTAGAATATCTACTTGCCTCGCAAGTGAGGGGAACCGGTATTCGGAGCCGGTATTGAGATAGATTTAAAAAATACACACACACACACACACTCACACTCGGCCATGAAGGCCACGCCTGGTCGTGTGCGCCTGTAATTCCAGCATGTGAGAGGCAGGCACAAAAGATCCCACTACCCCAAAGACACTGACAGGACAAGCTGGGTAACAAGGAAAAGGAGACGCGCTGGGCGTGGTCAATGGGAAAGCGCGTGTCTAGCAGGTGCGGGGCGCGGGATTTCATTCCCCAGCACACGGGAAAGAAAAACCGTAAACGCAAGTCTCACGGCACGCTGCTAACGACAGGCAGGCGCCGGTGCGCACGCGGGCCACCCCAGCGGCTCGGGAGGCCGCGGGCTGAGGATCGCGGGTCGAGGCCGGCCCGGGCAGGAAAGCGCGGGAGACTGAGCTCCATCGAACCAGCGAAAAGCCCAACGTGGAGCCGTGGCGCAAGGGGTGGAGCAGCAGCCTCGCGCACAGCAGCTCAGGGACGGGGCCCGGCGCCGGCACGCACACGGGCGCACGGGCGCACACCGCAGATGCGCGCGCACGCACGCACGCACGCAGAGGCAGGCGGCGGCCACAGCCATCCGCATTGGCCCTCGCCCGACATGACATCATGGAATCATCTGGAAGCAAGGGGGAGGGGTCCTGCCACGGGAGTCAATGGCAGAGATGCGGGCGCGGCGCTCGGCCCTCCTCCCGCTCGACGCCCGCCCGCGCCCGCGCCCCGCGCCCGCACTTCCGGCGCCCCGCCCCCCGCGCCCGCACTTCCGGCGCCCCCGCCCCCCCCGCCCCGCCCCCCGCGCCCGCACTTCCGGCGCCCCGCCCCCCGCGCCCGCACTTCCGGCGCCCCGCCCCCCACCTCCCGCGCCCCGCCCCCGCACTTCCGGCGCCCCGCCCCCCGCGCCCGCACTTCCGGCGCCCCGCACCCCCGCGCCCGCCCCCCGCGCCCGCACTTCCCGCGCCCCGCGCCCCGCGCCCGCCCCCCGCGCCCGCACTTCCGGCGCCCCGCCCCCCGCGCCCGCACTTCCGGCGCCCCGCACCCCCGCGCCCGCCCCCCGCGCCCGCACTTCCCGCGCCCCGCGCCCCGCGCCCGCCCCCCGCGCCCCGCGCCCGCACTTCCGGCGCCCCGCGCCCGCACTTCCGGCGCCGCGCCACCTTCACGGTCTCCAGACTCGCCCCTTCCAGCACCACGATGAGCCTCCGGCCGCCGCTCCTGCTTCCGGCCCCGAGCCGGGGCCTCTTGGGCGCCGCGGCCCCCCAGTCCTGCTCCTGCTCGCGGGCGCGCCGCTCTCGAGGCGCGCACGCACCACTGGGCGCAGCCATCTTGCCCCCGGACCGGAAGCGGCCTGGACCTCCTCCGCTTCGACTTAGCTCCTCCCCTCCGAGGGCCCGCCTCCCCTCCGAGGGCCCGCCTTCCCTCGGCCAAACGTCTTTCCGGCGGCCATTTTGAAAGCGGGCGCCGGCCAAAGGGCGACAGCGCTGGTGAAGCCGGCGAGGGAGGGCGCGGCGTGGCGAGCGGCGAGAGGCGGGACTTCCGCCGCCGGGCTTCCGGTGCGCGAAGTTCGGCTCGGGGAGCGAGCGGGCGGGCGGGCGGGGACGGTTGAGGCGGGCGCGCACTTCCGGTGCCCTTCCTGCCGCGAGCGCCCCGGGGCCGGGACCCTCGTGCGTGCGCCGCGCGCTCGTGCTCCCCGGCGAGGCGGAGCGCGGTGGGGCGGGCGGGCGCCGCGTCGCCCGCGACCTGCGCCGATGGCTCAGAACCTGAAGGACCTGGCGGGGCGGCTGCCCGCCGGGCCGCGGGGCATGGGCGCGGCGCTCAAGCTGCTGCTGGGGGCCGGCGCCGTGGCCTACGGCGTGCGCGAGTCGGTGTTCACCGGTAAGCGGGCCGCGATCGGGGCCGGGGGCCGCCCGCGACCCCCGACCCCGACCCCTGACCCTGTCCCCCCATCCCCGCAGTGGAGGGCGGCCACAGAGCCATCTTCTTCAACCGCATCGGCGGCGTGCAGCAGGACACCATCCTGGCCGAGGGCCTGCACTTCAGGTAATGGCGGCGGGCCCTGACCTTTCACCCCGCCGCCGGCGGCTGGATTTTGGACTGGAGGGGGCGGGGCGGGGGGACCAGCGATCGCCCCGACGGGGCCCCGTGCGGGGAGCCGGGCCGGGCCTGGGCCTGCGGGCGGGGGAGCGCCACCGACCTGTTTCCCACCCGTGCCCCCCCCCCCCGTCCTGTCCCCCAGGATCCCCTGGTTCCAGTACCCCATTATCTATGACATCCGAGCCCGACCCCGGAAGATCTCCTCACCCACGGGCTCCAAAGGTAAGTGAGCCCCGCCACGGGGCCCCGTGCGGCGGCCTGGGGGGTTCAGGCGGTGTGGCCCCAACGTGCAGAATGCTGCGGAAGTTACTGCCGGGGTCCCTCGCGCTCCCTTTGTCCTCGATCGAAGCTTCTCGGGTCTGGGGGCTGGGAAGGTGGCTCAGTGGTAGCGCGCTTGCCTTGCATGCCTGAGGCCCTGGGTTCGATTCCTCAGCACCACATAAGCAAAAAGAATAAAAGCCGGAAGTGGTGCTGTGGCTCAAGTGGTAGAACGCTAGCCTTGAACCGAAGAGCTGAGGGACAGCACCCAGGCCCAGAGTTCAGGCCCCACGACCGGACCCCCCCCCCCCCAAAAAAAAACAAAAAACTTGTCGGGTCTGATTTGTGGATCTGTCCACCCGACCTTGTCCAGGAGAGACCCGTACCCCATTCTCCACTACTTTCCCCTGAGGACCATACTTGGAAATCATGACAGGGGGCTCCCGCCTGTCACCCCAGCTCCTCGGGAGGCTGAGATCTGAGGATCCCAGTTCAAAGCCAGCCCGGCAGGAAAATCTGTGAGACCCTTTTATTTCCAGTGAGCTGTGGCTCAAGTGGTAGAGCGCCAGCCTTGGGCAAAAATTGCTGAGGCCGGCGCCCAGGCCCTGAGTTCAGGCCCCAGGACTGGTGCTCATGCGCACACCGGCAGCTCGAGCCTGATCTTGACCTCGACTTTTGCTCAGACCTGCAGATGGTGAACATCTCCCTGCGGGTGCTGTCCAGGCCCAACGCCCAGGAGCTGCCCAGCATGTACCAGCGCCTCGGGCTGGACTACGAGGAGCGCGTGCTGCCGTCCATCGTCAACGAGGTGCTCAAGAGCGTGGTGGCCAAGTTCAACGCCTCACAGCTCATCACCCAGCGCGCCCAGGTCTGACCCCCGTCGCCGGCTGTCTGAGCCTCTGTTTTCTCTCCAGGACTGCGCGGCTGGCCGTTCCCGCCTGTCATCCCAGCTACTCTGGAGGCTGAGAGCTGAGGATTGCAGTTCGAGGCCAGTCCGGGCAGGAAAGTCTGTGAGCCTCTGATCTCCCATGAACCAGCTCCGTGGTTCCCGAGGTCACGGGTCTCCCCGCCTTCCTTCCAGTTCTCCAGTCCCGCCCAATCCCCCCAGGTGTCCCTGCTGATCCGCCGGGAGCTCACCGAGCGCGCCAAGGACTTCAGCCTCATCCTGGACGACGTGGCCATCACGGAGCTGAGCTTCAGCCGCGAGTACACCGCCGCCGTGGAGGCCAAGCAAGTGGGTGAGTGAGTGGCGGGCTGCAGCGATCAGCGGCCGTGGGGGGGGCTGTGATCCCCCCTGACCCTCCCTCCACCCCCCTCCCCACAGCCCAGCAGGAAGCCCAGCGCGCCCAGTTCCTGGTGGAGAAAGCCAAGCAGGAGCAGAGGCAGAAGATCGTGCAGGCCGAGGGCGAGGCCGAGGCCGCCAAGATGATATCCTTCCGCGCCCGGGCCTGCCCTCCCTCCGCCCTCCCACAGGGCTGGCTGATGAGGCCAAGGCGAATGCGACTCCGTGCCCTGCGCCCCTCAGCTCCTAGTTTGGGGTGGGGGGGGACGATCGGAAATCTCGGAGGGGGTCCTGAGGCGTGGGCCCCCCCCCCACACACACCCTAAGGCCCGATCCACAGCAGCCCGGGCCTCCCCCGGCCTCTCCGCTGTCACCCCAGATGCTGGCAGCGGCCTGCGGGGAGGCCCACAGAGGGAGGCTGAGGCGGGGTGGGCACAGGCCGTGAGCGCACGCGTGGATCTGACAGCCCACGGGAGGGGGTGGGAGCTGCCCCCAGCCCGGCCGGCGTGGACCTTAACTCCAGCCTCACCTCGGAGAAGCCCTGAGCAAGAATCCGGGCTACATCAAGCTACGTAAGATCAGGGCCGCCCAGAACATCTCCAAGACGGTGAGCCATCCGGAGATTCGCTTTCTGTGCGCTGGTCTGCGGCCAGTCCGAGCCACCCGCAGCGCTGGGGTCTGGGTTTTGGGGTGTGTGTGCGTACGTGTGTACCTGTGTGTACTCTGGGACCAGGCGCCTGCTTGCCCACGGTTGGTGCTCTACTACTTGAACCACGCTCCACTTCCAGCTTTTGGCTGGTTAATTGCAGATAGTCTCCCGGGCTTTCCTGCCCCACAACTGGCTTTGAACCGTGATTTCCCCAGATCTCAGCCTCCCGAGGAGCTGGGGTGACGGGCGTGAGCCCAGTGAGAGCAGAAAGCACCCCCCCCTCCTGCCCCCCCCTCCCCGCCTGGGGTGCCCCAGTGAGCCCCTCACGCCCACCTGTCCCCGCCCCCGCCTTGTCTAGATCGCCACGTCGCAGAACCGGATCTTCCTCACCGCAGACAACCTCGTGCTGAACTTACAGGACGAAAGCTTCACTCGGTGAGACGCCCGCGTCCCGCGCAGCCGCCCCGCAGGCCTGTGCTCAGCCAGTGCTACTCAGGGGCGGGCGGGGCGGACGCCTGTGATCCCGCCCGCGGGAAAGCCCCGGGACTCGGCCGTTAATAGCGCGGGGCCCGGTGCGAGTCTAGTTCTTGCTGGGGAGGGGGAGAGGGTTGGCTCACGCTTTCTGTCTTGCAGCATCGATCTTGGGGGTGGTGGGGGGCCGTGGGGCTTGAACTCGGGGCCCGGGCGCCGTCCCTCAGCGCTTCAGCTCCAGGCGGGCGCTCCACCACCTGAGCCACAGCGCCGCTCCCGGTTTTCGGGTGGTCCGTGGGAGATCGGAGTCTCACAGACTTCCTGCCCGGGCTGGCCTCGAACCGCCATCTTTCGATCTCAGCCTCCCGGCGGCTGGGGCGGCGGGCAGGAGGCCGGGGCCCAGGGCGGGGTTGGGGCGCCGCCGCGGGGTCACCCGGTCTCCTCTTTCTCTTCCATGTTCCCTCCTGGCGATCCGCAGGGGCAGGTAGGTGTGCACCGGCCGGTGCCGGGGTCCCCCCCGAACCCCCATCCGGAGCGACCCCCGCTCCCCCACCCGGGGTCCCCCACATCCCCCACCCGGGGTCCCCCACATCCCCCACCCGGGGTCCCCCACATCCCCCACCCGGGGTCCCCCATTCCCTCCACCCGGGGTTCCCCACATCCCCCACCCGGGGTCCCCCATTCCCCCCACCCGGGGTCCCCCATTCCCTCCCCCCGGGGTGGCCCCATCCCCCCCACGCCCCGGCCGCAGCCGCGTCTGTCTCCCGCAGCGACAGCCTCATCCGGGGCAAGAAGTGAGGCCGCGCCGTCGCCCAGCGGAGGGAGCGCAGCGCCACGCAGCCATTCTCAATAAACTTTTACTACTGTACCGACGCGAGTCCAACCTGCTGCGCCTGCGCGGGCTCTCCCGGGGCGGGCGGCGCGCATGCGCGCGGGGATCCCGAGAGGGCGCCGGGGGCGGGGCCTAGGGAGGGGCGGGGCCGGGGGGCGGGGCCGCGGTCCCCCCACTTCCCGCTCTGCGCTGACTCCCTGGAAACCGGCGCCCGCGAGACGCGGCTGCCGGCGGCCTCCGACCTCTGCGGGGCCGAGGCCGGGAAGCGCTGGCCGCCCGAGGCGGGGCCCCCAAGGACCGGACCCACCCTCACCCGCACGAGGCCGCGCCCGCGGGGCTCCGGGCTCCGGGCGCCCCGTCGTCGCAGCCCGCCGGAGGCCGGGGGCCGAGGCCAGCCACACCTCCGAGGGGCCGCAGTGCGCGCGGCGCCAGTGGCGGCGCTGAGTTCGAGGTGGTCGGGGCCCACGTGGGCGCCCGCGCATGGCGCACCCGCGACCCGGACGCAGACGCCCCGGGCGGGGGGGGGGGTCACCTCGCCGGGCGCCCCGGGGGCCATCTCCACCAGACAGGGGCCCAGGCTGCGCCCAGCGCTGCGCGGAGGGGGGGGGGCGGGGAGAGGGGCGGGGCCCGGGGAGGAGGGGCGGGGCCCGGGGGCGGGGTAAGACGGGGTCTCCTCCCCCCCCTTGCTTCGGCTCCGCGCGGGCCCCGGTTCCTGGGTGCGGGTGTTGGGGATCGGCCCCCCATCCCGAGCACCCCTGTCCCCGCCTGGCCCCCCACAAGCGCCCGACCTCACCTGCGCTGGGGAGACCCCCGGGCCCAGCCGCGGCTCCCGCCCCTCCCCCTCCCCTCCCCCTCCTCCTCCTCCTCCCGCTCCTCCTCCTTCCCCTCCCCTCCTCCTCCTCCTCCCCCTCCTCCTCCTCCTCCCCCTCCCCCTCCTCCTCCCCCTCCACCTGGCCTCGCCTGCCCGGCCCCGCCCGCAAGCCGCCCCCCCTCGGACCCCCTCCCCGCCCCCCCCCGCCCCCCCCAGGGCCCAGGAGCGAGTGTGTCAACCGCCCAGCGCCGCCGCCCTGCGCCACGCAGCCCGGCATCGTGTGTGGGGGGGGGATGGGGGGGGTTCTTCCTCCCAGGTCGCCCCTCCAGGCCCCCTGGTACTGGGACCCCAAAAACACTAGTGCTCTACATCCAAATATATGTGTTATCGTATTATATATATGTGCGGGGCAGGGGCGCAGTGGCAGAGCGCTCGCCTCGCGTGCAGGAGGCCCTGGGTTCGAGTCCTCAGCACCCCATACGCAGGAAAGGCCGGGAGTGGCGCTGTGGCTCGAGGGGTAGAGCGCCCGCCTGGAGCAGAAGCGCTGAGGGACGGCGCCCGTCAGCGTTGGCTCGAGGCTCCCTGGCCCCTCAGCCCAGAGTTGGGGAGAGTGGGGGCCCCAGTGCGCTGTGGCCTTGCTCAGCCTCCTCTAAAACGGGTCCTAATTCCTAGATCTCAGAGGTGAGGCGGGAAGGCCTGGGTTCCAGGCAGGAGCGGCGAGGCTGGGCCCCTCAGGAGGCCGACAGCTGAGGCTCCAGATCAAAGCCAGGTGACTGGCACCTCCAGGGAATCAGCAAAAGGCCAAGATGGGGGCGTGGCTCAAGTGGTGGAGCGCCAGCATGAGCAGAAAGGCAAAGAGAGGGTATGGGGCTGGAGATGCAGCTCGGGCGGAGCGGAGGGATGGCTAGCTCGGGCGGAGGATGGAGGTCCTAGGTTTGGCCAGAAGAGGGAGGAGGGAGGAGGGGGGGGGAGGGGGGGGAGGAGGCTGCTGGGTTGACGGATTTTGCCATCATTTGCCTATGCAAAGTAGCACTGGAAGCAGGTCTGTCTACTCTTGAGCTGTTGGTTCATTCATTCATTCATTCGTTCATTCCTTGGTTGTGTAGCACTGTGCCCTGAGCTGCTCCCTGGAGAGCAGAGTCTCACCGCCTTTCCTGCCCGGGCTGGCTTTGAACCGCGATCCTCAGACCTCAGCCTCCTTTCTAGCTGGGATGACAGGCGGGAGCCACCAGCGCCCAGCCGGCTTGTGAGCCTCCCCCCTCCCCCCTCCCTCCCCCCTCCCCCCTCCCTACCCCCCCTACCCCCTCCCTACCCCCCCTACCCCCTCCCTCCCCCCTCCCTCCTTCCCTTTCTTCCACATTCACTGGGGACAATGCAGAGCCAGTTCAAGGGGCCACACAGGGGTCTTTATTTACAAGAAGAGGGGGGGCCCTGCCTGGGGCCTTGGTGAGCTCTATGTACAAATTTGGGGGGGCACAGTGATTTAAATTACAATCGGATGGGCAGAGGGTCCCCAGCTTCCAGCTTGGGCCTCTTCAGGGCTGACAGGGAACGGGCCTGGGGGCTGTGGAGAGAAAAGAAGGGGTGGGGGGGGGCCTGGAACCTGGAGAGGGGCTTCCAGAACATTCTGGAAGGCTGGGGGAAGTCTGTGAGCCCTTCCTGCATCTCCCCCCGCCAGCCCAGCACCGAGGGTCGGGCAGGGAGGAGCTGGCGGAGACGGATCTGTACCGTGGCCACAGGAAGTGCGCGCCGCTCACTTCCTCTTGAGAGACCCCTTGCTCTTCTCCTTGTCGGCTGACCGCTGCTTCTTCATTTTCTCCTCCTTCTTCGTCTTCCGGTCCAGGTTCTCGTACACATCTTCCTTGTGTCTGCGGGAGGCGGGGTGGTAAGAGGCATGGGAAGCCGGGCGCCGGGGCGCACGCCTGTCATCCCAGCGACTCGGGAGGCTGAGGCCGGAGGATCGCAATGCAAGGCCAGCCCGGAAAAGAAAGTCCGTGAGACTCTCGTCTCCCAGGAGCCACGAGAAAACCAGAAGTGGCGCTGTGGCTCAGCATGGCAGAGCGCCGGCCTTGAGCAAAAAGAGCTCAGGCCCCGAGTTCAAGCCCCACAACTGACCACAAAACAAACAATAAAACAGGCAACTGAAAAAACGCAGTGTGTGTTGTGTGTGTGTACGTGTGTGCGCATGCATGTGCTGGACTGAGGCTTGAACTCAGGGCCTTGCCCCCTTCCTTACTGAAGGCGGACATTCAATCACTGAAGCCATATCTCAACTTCTCGCTGCTGTTTCTGATTTTTTACCCTTTTTTTGCTTATTTATTTGTTTTGTGGTCCTGGGTCTCGAACTCAGGGCCTGGGCGCTGTCCCTGAGCTCTTCAGCTCAAGGCTGGCGCTCTACCACTTGAACCACAGCGCCACGTCTGGTTTTCTGGTGGTTCATGGGAGATCGGAGTCTCACCAACTTTCCTGCCCGGGCTGGCCTTGAACCACGATCCTCAGATCTCAGCCTCCTGAGTGGCTGGGATGACAGGCGGGAGCCACTGGGCTGGGCTGAAAGACAGATCTTGTAACAGCGCCTGTGAATGAACGGGACGCTAAGCGCCCGGCCTCCCCCCCGTTTTGTATCGGTGCGCTTGGGTCTGAGCCAATTTCTCCTTCAGTCACTTTCCAACCAGCGTGAAGAAGAGGATTCTTCTTGTTTTTCCTGTTTTCTTCTGTCGATTGTGGGCCTTGAACTCAGGGCCTGGGCGCTGTCCCTCAGCATTATCAACTCAAGGCTAGCGCTCTGCCACTTGAGCCACAGCGCCATGGGAGGTAGGAGTCTCATGGACTTTCTTGCCTGGGCTGGCTGTGGACTGCAATCTGAATAGCGGGGATTACAGGTGTGACCCACAGCACCCGGCTTCTGTGAGACTTTTTTTCTTTTGCCAGTCCTAGGGCTTGAACTCAGGGCCTGGGCGCCGTCTCTGAGCTTCTTTGGCCCAAGCCTGGCACTCGACCACTTAAGCCACAGCTCGGCTTGTCTATGAGACTCTTCTCTCCGACGAACCAACAAAAAGCTGGAAGTGGAGGCGTGGCTCAGTGGCAGAGCACCAGCCTTGAGCAGAAGAGCTCAGGGATGGCGCCCAGGCCCTGAGTTCGAGCCCCAGGACGTGCCTGAAAACACACTGCCACAGAACTGAGCTTGAACTTGAACCGACATCTGCCCACCTGAAATCATGGCTCCTGTCCTAAGGGCAGGGCCAGGCTGGCGAGGGGGGGGGCAGGGCGGGGAAGGGGGGGCTCACCTGGAGGAGGTGCGGGAGGCCGTGGTGTGGGCGCTTTTCATGGCGGGCGGGTAGGTGATGTTCCCATATTCCGACTCCAGGCCTTTGCGGGACTGTGTGCAGTTGGAGGGAAAGTGGGGGGATAGCAGGGGGGACCGGCAAGGGGAGAGGGAGGCCCGGCCCTGCCCCGAGCCCCACCGGGCGCCCACGGCCGCGCACCTGGATCACCTCCAGCTTCTTCTTGGTGGTGTCGATGAACTGCGCGATGGCCACGTAGATGAACTTGTACTGGGCCTCGGTCTGCACCATGCCCGAGCGCTGCGCGCGCACCATCTGAATGGTCTTCTGGATGTCGATGTCACAGTCCAGCCCTGGGGGGAGACAGGCGGGTGGGGTGGGGGGAGCTCAGGCCCAGGCCCGTGGGCGCCCCTGCCCTCCCCCCTGCCCTCCCCCTGCCCTCCCCCCGCCCTCCCCCCAGCTCACCCTTGGTGGCGATGCTCTCCATCAGCATGTCGATGACGATGATCGTGCCAGTTCGGCCAATGCCAGCGCTGAGTGCAGAGGAAGCCCCGCCCCTCATCAGGGGGCCGGCCGCACCCCCACCCTCCCCGGGGGCCCTGCCAGGCCGGGATGGCGCCCCCCCCCCCGCCGCGCACGCGCACGGAATCGGAGAGGCCCAGGCTGGGCGCCAGCGCCCCGCCTGTCACCCCGGCCACCCGGGAGGCTGAGGCCTGAGGGTGGCGGATGGAGGCCGGGCAGGAAAGGCCGAGACTCTGATCTCCCAGGAACCGCCAGAAAGCCAGGAGTGGCGCCGTGGCTCAAGTGTGTGTGTGCGCGCGCGCATTTGTGTGTGTGTGTGTGTGTGCGCGTTTGTGTGTGCGTGCGTGCATGTGTGCGCGTGTCTGTGTGTGCGTCTGTGTGGTGTGCGCGCGCGTGTCTGTGCATGCGTGTGCGTGTCT